ATTCCCTCCAACCGTGAGCAGAGTTCCAATTGCTCTACATCCCCACAATCCTTGTTTTTTGTTTCTTTGACAGTAGTTCTTTCCTAATGGGTGTGAGATTCTTTGTCTCATTTTGACTACTACTTGACATTCTATTGATAAAGATTTATTCATTTGGGATTGACAAGCCCTCTCTTTTAAAAGGCAAATATACTTAAGAGCTATCTTTCTAAAAAAAAAAAAAAAAAGCTATCTTTCTTACCTCCCCCATCAGTTTGATTCTCACATGACTTCCTGGTAGTTATGGGACTGTAATTAAAACTAAACTTCTCAAATCATGCACCTATAGCCCTGGCGTTGATTGATTTTCTCATGCAAAATGATAACTGCCTAGAGAGGTACTAGCATTTCAGGTATGATAAAGATTGACGTCATTATCAAATGTTAGAAATCATCGTTGAAAAAATAAGGTCAAGATAGGGCACTGAGCGAGAAATCTAGATTACATTCAAATTGTTTAATAAATTTATTTAAAAACATTTATTGAGAGGGTGCCTGTGTGGCTCCAACAGTTAAGCATCTGACTCTTGATTTTGGCTCAGGTCATGATCTGAGTCCTGAGATCAAGCCCCATTGTGTGTGGCTCTGCACTGAGCGTGGAGCCTGCTTGAGATTCCGTATCTCCCTCTGCCTTCCTCCCTCCACTCTGTACCTGTGCTCTCTTTCTCTCTCTCTCAAAACAAAACAAAACAAAACAAAACAAAACAAAACAACCCCCCCCCCGCCAGAAAACCAAAACCAAAGAACGTATTGAGTAATGTGTGAGGCAATGATGCTAAGCTCTTATATTATTTATAATATAAACTCCAGGAGGTTGAGGTGTTTTCCTGTTTGGCTCACAAATTTACTCATACTACCTAAAGCAGTACCCAGACCCATAGAAAGGGCTCAAGGAATATTGCTCTAGTGAGCATTTGCAGATATATTCTTTGGTTCTCCACATGTAGCCTACAGACTCTGGGAGTACCTGAGAGAGTGTTTCAGGGAGTCTGTAAGATCAAAACTATTTTTATGATAATATTAAGACATGATTTGCTCTTTTTCACTGTGTTTACATTTCACTGAAGATGCAAAGGTAATGGTGGGTAAAATTGCTGGCACCTTAGTATGAATCAAGGCAGTGCAGCATCAACTGGTGCTAGAGTCATTGTCTTCTTCCCTACCACACCTATGCAATAAAAGAATTAAGAAGTCACTTTTGGGGTGTCTGGCTGGCTCAGTCAGTAGAGCATGTGACTCTTGATCTCAGGATTGTGAATTCGAGCCCCATGCTGGATGTAAAGATTACTTAAAAATAAATCTTAAAAATAAAGCCACTTCCACTTAACACTATCCTTTATGAAGCAGTACAAATTATTAATTGTGTGAAATCTCTCTTCTGGAGTTTATATATTTTATTTTATTAATTAATTTATTATTTTATTATTTATTTATTCATGAGAGACACACACAGAGAGGCAGAGACATAGACAGAGGGAGAAGCAGGCTCCTTGCAGGGAGCCCAATGTGGGATTTCATCCCCAGACTGGGATCATGCCCTGAGCCAAAGGCAGATGAGCCCCCCAGGCATCCTAGAACACCACTTTTCTCATCTAAGTACTAGCTAGAATGGACTCTGCTTAGTTATGAGATCTGGGGTGTTCAAGATGGTATGGCTATGGACTTTAGAACACCATTTTTGGGGCAGCCCTGGTGGCGCAGCAGTTTAGCGCCGCCTGCAGCCCAGGGTGTGATCCTGGAGGCCAGGGATCGAGTCCCAAGTCGGGCTCCTTGCATGGAGCCTGCTTCTCCCTCTGCCTGTGTCTCTGCCTCTCTGTGTGTGTGTGTGTGTTTCTCATGAATGAATGAATAAATAAATAAATAAATCTTTTAAAAAAATTTTAAAAAAAGAACACCAATTTTTGCTTGAAAGAATGACAGGGAAACTATGGCTATTCAGATTTGAATATTTGAATGGAACTAGCCTGACACTTCATGGAAAATTGACTTATAGTATTTCTGTTAATGATAAAATTTGATCTTTCTTTTTAAAAATATTTTTAAAAATTTATTTATTTGGGGATCCCTGGGTGGCGCGGTGGTTTGGCGCCTGCCTTTGGCCCAGGGCACGATCCTGGAGACCCAGGATCGAATCCCACATCGGGCTCCCGGTGCATGGAGCCTGCTTCTCCCTCTGCCTATGTCTCTGCCTCTCTCTCTCTCTCTCTGTGTGTGTAACTATCATAAATAAATAAAAAATAAAAATAAAAATAAAAATTTATTTATTTGGAGGTGAGAGAGCAAGAGAGAATGAGTGGGGGAGGGGGAGGGGCAGAGGGAGAGTGAAAAGCAGACTCTCCACAAACTGAGCGGGGAGCCCAATGTGGAGCTCCATCCCAGGACCCTGGATCATGACCCAAGCTGAAGTCAGATGCCTAACTGACTGAGTCACTCAGGTGCCCCAAAATTTGAGCTTTCAAGAAAAAAATTGCAATTTTGGAAATGCATCTACCAAAGTCAGCTTGATAGCTTCCCAGGATTTTCCTGATGAGATCAATGATGATTATAATAAATGTAATTTTTTAATGTTAAGTAGTGAATTTCATCAATATTTGGAAGATCCACATAATTCAGTAAACCAATATTTTCCAAGTTGTTTCAGATTCCCTACAGCGGGCAGCCTGGGTGGCTCGGTGGTTTAGCGCCACCTTCGGCCCAGGACGAGGTCCTGGAGACCCAGAATCGAGCCCCATGTCAGGCTTCCTGCAGGGAGCCTGCTTCTCCCTCTGCCTGTGTCTCTGCCTGTGTGTGTGTGTGTGTGTGTGTGTGTGTGTGTGTCTTCATGAATAAATAAATAAAATCTTAAGAAAAAAAATAATTTGGGGTGCCTGGATAGCCATGTCATTAAGAGTCTGACTCTTGATTTCCACTCAGGTCATAATTTCAGGGTTGTGAGATCAAGCCCCTCTTCATACTTCTGCTGGGTGTGGAGACTGCTTGGTATTCTCTCTGCCTCTCTCTCTAATAGTAAAAAATAAAGCGAAATAGGAGCAGCTCCGGTGGCTCAGCATTTTGGCACCGCCTTCATCCCAGGGCATGATCCTGGAGACTGGGATTGAGTCCTGCGCGGGGCTCTCTGCATGGAGCCTGCTTCTCCCTCTGCCTGTGTCTCTGCCTTTCCTGTGTGTGTGTCTCTCATAAATAAATAAAATCTTAAAAAAATAAAAATTACCATTTGTTGAGTTTTGCTAGTATCATAGAAATGTATCCACAACTATTGGCTAAAAATACCTCTTCCTTTTCTAACTATACAGTTGTGTGAGACTGGATTTTCTTCATTTCCTAGACCAAAATAAGAGCAAACCAGAGAGAATGGGGAGGCAAATATGAAAATCCAGCTGTCTTCTATTAAGCCAGACATTAAAGAGATTTGCAAAATTCTAATGCAGTGCCATTCTGCTAATTTTCTTGGGGGGGGTTGTCATAGTTATATTTTATAAAATATATTAAGATGTATTATTGGCTTGTTACTATTTTAGGTGAATTAATACATGCTTCTTAATTTCTCAATTTTAATTTCTAATTCGGTAAATATCTCACACACTTTATTTTTATTATTATTTTTTAATTTGAGAGAGAGAGAGAGAGAGAGAGAGGGAGAGGCAGGAACTGGGGGGAGGGCCAGAGGGAGAGGGAGCAGTAGACTCCTTGCTGAGCAGGGAGCCAGATAGCGGGCTCAGTCCCAGGACCCCAGGATCATGACCTGAGCCCAAGTGAGACACTTCAGGGTCTGAGCCCCCCGGCGCCCCTAAACAAACACACACTCTCTCTCTCACTCTTTTTTTTTTAAAGATTTATTTATTTATTTATTCATGAGAGACACAGAGAGGGAGAGAGGCAGAGACACAGGCACAGGGAGAAGCAGGCTCCATGCAGGGAGCCCGACACCGGACTCGATCCCGGGTCTCCAGGATCACGCCCTGGGCCGAAGGCGGCACCAAACTACCAAGCCACGCAGGGATCCCCTAAACACACACTTTTAATCAATTTTTAATAATGTTTGGGCGCCTGGCTGGTTGAGTCCTTAGGGCACGTGACTCTTGATCTTGGGGAGGTGAGTTCGAGCCCCAGGTTGGGCTATAATTTCCTTAAAAAAATGTAAAAGGATCCTGAGGCTTAAAAGCTTTAGGGTCAGTTTAGAGCCCCACGGTCGAGGGTAGTGCTGGGTATTGTACCCAGGCCATCTAACTCCAGTGCTTGTCTTTTGTGACCCGACTTCTTCCTTGATAATATCTATGCTAAAATTATCCCTAAGCAGGTTGTAAAAAAACACTTCAACAACATAAAAATCATCCCATTCAACGCATTTTCTTTTCCCCAGCCAGCTGCACGATCCTTCTCCGGGCTTGTTTCCTAGAGTGAACCGGGTGTTTGCTGGGCCATCCCAGTTCGGTTTTCGCTTTGACAAATTTGTGGTTTCTACGAGAACGTTGAGTTGGGACGCCTTCGGTAACTCCGCAGGGGAACTGCAACCCACGGGGGTTCAAATGGGGAAGCTCTCGGGACTTTGCGATGCTCCAGGAATGTGGGCGTCTTCTTCCTCGATCTTCCCACAAGCTAGACGACCCTCCGCTAGGCTGAAACACCGGAGACGACGTCTTCACACCTCCAGAGCCCGGGGACCCTCCGTTGGCCCTTTAAGGACGCCCCCTCGGCCTGATTGGCTGGGGCTGACAACGGTGGGCGGGACACGGCTCCGGATTGGCTGTCAGAGCCCATTCGGCGCTGCTCACTGGCGTCCACCCTCCCGGGTCCCAAGTGAGTCTGAAGGGATCCGGACTCCCGCCAGGGCCTGGGCGGGGCCGAGCGCGGCGCCTCGGGAGCGGGGATAGCCGCTGGGAGCTCGGGCCGGGAGGGGCGGAGCGTCTTGGGCGACGGGGATTGGCGTTGCCGGAGCCTCCTCCCGTGGTGCACCGGGGCACCGGCCACTCACCCGGAAGGAGAAGCTAAGCCTGGCTCTATGGTGCAGCGCTGGCGGTGCCGCTGTGGGGAGTGGGTACTGCTCTCAGGTGAGGGGCCGCGGGCGGGGCGGCGGGGAGTGGATGCTGCTCTCAAGCCAGGCTTGAGCGTCAGGAGTGGCGTTCGGGGGTGGGAATCTCGCTTGACACCTCTTGGAAGAGGCTGGCTCGCCTCCCGGGATGAAGGCGGGTGCTTGCTTGCTCGGGATCCCAGGAAAGAAACTCGGCTTTTTCATTTGTTTTTAAAGTGTGAAGCATCTTTCCTTTCCACCCCCCAAGCTTAATAGTCAAAGGGGAAGAAGGGTCGTGGGGCTCCTTTGCTCTTAACTTCGTTAAGAATGGAGGGGGAGTGACCCAGAGTTTGGCGACATTTACCGAAACGGCTAGGGCTAGGAGTGATGACAAGTATTTCACAGGACAGAGGCCGGCTCTTGCGCTAGACTGTGGTCGCCGTTGTGATTTATCTTCCAAGTGTAGCGAGCGACAAGTTACGGAGGGACGAAATGGAGCAGAGCTGCTGGGTTGGGAACTTGGTCAGGAAAGGGAGCATCCTCTACCACCTGTGGGTGTTTAGGAAGGAGAGCTTTCTGGGTCCTCTGGCATCAGGGGCTCAAGAATGAGTGAGAAGGGATTAGGAGTCTTGGTAGCTCAAAACACTTATCACCTGAGGTTTTTTTTTTTAATATTTTATTTATTTATTTGACAGAGAGAGCAAGAGCAGGCAGAGGGAGAGGGAGAAGCAGGCGGTAAACAGAGATCCCAGGACCCTGGGATCATGACCTGAGCCGAAGGCAGAGGCTGAACTGACTGAGCCACCCAGGCTCCCTACCTGATTTGTTTTTTAACCTGCCTTTTTGAAATAGTTTAAATGGGAGTGAGGATGGTGTTGAGAAAGCCCTGAATTGCTACGTTGAATTGTTAGGACATAGGAAACCTTTACAAGGAATCTTTGTAAAAAGCAAACGACTGCATTCTCAGAGAGATTGGTGTTGGTAGGGGTGGAGAAAGTAAAGGGAGCTTCACATGTGGTTGAAAGGACCCAGGAAATGTAGTGCCACGTGAGATGCAGACATAGCTGAGAGGATCGCTGACTTATCCTTATTTGCATGACTGCTCTATTTCCCAGATCACGAGCTAAAGTTAGGAACTTCCTTCTTCCCCTCCCTGGACAGAACTGAGCTCCATTTCATTTCCTGCTGAGGAGTGGCATCTGTGTGGAGGAAGCTGGTGGGAAGGGTAATTGCTAGAAATTATGACTCCGAATCTAGGTTTTTGTGTTTGTTCCAATGTCCAGTGTTTTTAAGGAAAAGTTAAAATGGAAACTTTGTTAGTGCCCTTTAAACTTAGATTTAAGTATACAGCATCTTGGGGCAGGGGTGCTAGGATTTTTTTTTTTTTTTGAAAGCCAGTTTAAGCCATTTGTTTCCGAGTGGTGTTAGCTCCAAAGGAAAGGAGAGAAACTTACATTTGCAGATGGTTCAGGGTCCTAGACAAACTCTTTTTGAGCCTGAGAATGATGATCACTTGGTTACTAAATCATGGTCCTGAATTTGACAAACCTTTCAAGGCACAGGAGATGTGTGAGGTCCACTGAGTGTGTGGATGATAATTGCCTTGTCATTTTGCCCATCGTTACTTTTGTGAAAAGAGATTTCAGAATATTTAACTCTATGCTCTTGTGCTGGCAATTTACCAAATGCCTGAAAAGAGAAAAAAATTAAAAGGTTAGTTGTTCACCAGCAGGCCTGTTCTTTTTGGTAACAACCTTTTTTTTTTTTTTTAAAGATTTTAAAAATTTATTTATTCATGAGAGACAAGAGAGGCAGAGTCAGAGACACAGGCAGAGGGAGAAGCAGGCTCCATGCAAGGAGCCCGACGAAGGACTCCATCCCAGGACTCCAGGATCATGCCCTGGGCTGAAGGCGGCACTAAACCGCTGAGCCACCCGGGCTGCCCTGGTCACAACCCTTTGACTGCTTACATTGGGGACGTTACACATGGGTTGGTAAGGAACTGGAATTTCCTTTCAGTTCAGGATGCCTTTGGGATGGTGACTGCATCAGATGAAAAATCAGATTGTTGGCAAAAGTACAACGATGGTATCGCAGTCACAAAACCTCTGGCTTGCTCAACGGTGTAGTCCAGTCCTATCATACACCATGCAGTTTTATCCCTGTGCAGTGGCTGTGTGTGGAGAGACCTTCTGGTGTACTGGAAAGATTTGGGAAAGCTGTTTGCTCTGCTAATTTTGCGGTGTAAATGAGTTCCCCTTCTCTTGAAACGTTAGCTTTGTGTTAGCAAAACATAAAATAGAAGGGAACTCATTACACGCGGTTCTAATGGTAAGGCAAAACTAATAAGAGAATGTGTTTAAAATTAATTGTAGGCCTGTAAAAATGAGTGGGTGTGTGAATGGGTATGGGGGGAGGAGAGAGAGAGCTTAGAGATAGTCTTGTTTTCCCAGGAGCCGGTCTGGATCATTTGTTGGCAGTACATATTGGCTGAAGTCAGTTTTCATTTCAAGGTAAATTGGAAAGGGAAATTAAACCTTATTGTTCCGCTCTTAAGAGAGGAGAAGGGGGTGGAGGCAGCAGCCAGGGTGGATGCTGTTGGAGTGGTTCTAGGAGTAACAAGATTAGTGCTGTATTTTAACAGAAGGTGACATCATGGGCCCCTTTGGACTGGAGTAACCCAGCGCTGGAGGCTTCATGGGCCCCTTGTTGGAGTGGGCGATGTCGCTGCACATGTAAACTGCCACACTGGGGGAAATCAGGGGCTTAGGCTTTAATGAATCTTTACAAAGGATCGGAAAACATCCCGAGCCGACCTGTGCAGCTGTGGGGTGCTTGGGCATTGGTACAAACCGGATAGCATATCGAGAGAGGAAATGACTGGAACCATTGGCTTGGGTTCTGGAGAACAGATTAGAGAAGGGAAGGTCGAAACTGGGCAGCCCATTCAGGTGCTCCCTGAGCTCTCCAGCTCCCTGATTGACCTCTGGGTAGGTGATGACTTAGCAAGACAGACTTCAGAGCCTTGGTGTTGGTGGGGCTTGATTGTCTCTAAACTGCCAGGAGGGGGCGGTGTCAGGCTCACTTGCAGAGGCTCTTGTGTGCCCCAAAGAGACTTTCACCTGCAGTCCTTAGCAGAAAAGGTCTGACCTTGAACTTGCGTATTCTGGCTGCCTGACCTGAACGCTTCACAGACCTAAACATGCTTTGTTGGGCTAGACGTGGCCTAGGTAAAGGTCCTGGCTGTGGTCTGCAAAGAGGGGCAGGGGCTTTTAGCTTGGCACTGAGCTAAGGTATGGGAATTTTTTTGCTTCCTCTTAAGTTTAACACAAAAACAAAAAAAGGTGCCTGGGTTTTCCCAGGGGGGAATCAATGAAAATTTTTCTTGATAAAGAATGATAAAAATAGAGGCATGCTAACAATGATTGTTCTCCTGTCCTCTGTCCCCCATTAGATGTTTTCTTCCAATGGGCTTTTGGTGTAGGATGTTGGAAAACCAAGAGCAGGAGGTAAGCGTGTGGTCTCCAGGAAACAGGTGGGTAGAAGTTTGATGGGACTTGGGTAAAGATGCCTATCATTGCTGCATGGTGTTCTAATGACAGTAATGGGGGTTCTGATGAGCTCAACGGCAGAAGAAGGATATCCATAGTAAAGCCATTCCTGGGAAATGAGGTTCCATTTTCACTAACTTTCCCCATTCATTGGAATGTCGTTGAATGTCAGATTCACAAGGGCAAAGATTTTTGTCTCTTGTTTATGTATTACTCCCAATGCTTTAGAACTGTCTGACACATAGTGGGCGGTCAATAAATATTTGTTGAATTGAATGAATAAATAAATGAATGGTTGGTGCTGATTGGAAAAATCTGACAACCTGTATTGTCAAAGCTGCCTTACTATGTGGCCGAGCTGAAGCTGAAGGAGCCTTTCTTACCTCCAGGAGGTGATCACCGTGCGTGTTCAGGACCCCCGAGTGCAGAATGAAGGCTCCTGGAATTCTTATGTGGATTATAAGATCTTTCTCCACGTAAGTGCATCAGCCTTCTGTACGGGGTCAGCACTCTCCAGGGCTGAGGGCTAGAGCAGAGGTGGAGCCTGTTTGTGGATATTTTGACAGTCCTGAGACAGAGGAAAGAGAGAGAGGTAAGGAATGAGCTTGGGGTATGCTGTAGAGTTGCTTTCAGGCTGCCTGGTGGCACCTTGCTCAAGTTGGAGCCCCTGATCTGGACTGTGGCCTGGTGGTTTGGATCCTCCGTCAGAGTGATGATGGGGATTTGTGTGAACTTGGTCTTTTTCTCCTTGGCTTTTTTCTTTCTCACATGCTTCCTCCTGTAGACCAACAGCAAAGCCTTTACTGCCAAGACATCTTGTGTGCGTCGCCGATATCGTGAGTTCGTGTGGCTGAGAAAGCAGCTGCAGAGAAATGCTGGTTTAGTGTGAGTTTGCTTCTGCTTCTTTCTTGGGTCTGAGACTGGTTTTTCAGGCATATACGTGAGAACCAGAGTTTACAATAACGAAAACTTGGCATTATGTCAGGCACTCAGGAAATCAAGACATGTGTTCTTAAATTATGTTTTCAAGTCAGTGGAAAAAGTAAAGACAAAAGTTCTAGCATTTTGACCTAACAAAGTCTTATAAATATCAAAAATATTTTTTAATATGCATATTAATCTAGAGCTAAACAAATGTACTGTTAGCGTTTTATATGTGCGTATCACTCATTATCAGAAACTTGTTAGCACTTAGACTTAGGTGACCAGTGGCGTTCCTGTCCATTTGACATGTAAAAAAAAAAAAAAGTTTTTTTCTTTTTTTGTGGAGAGACCTTTTTTCAGAGATAACAAACTGAAAGCGTTAGGAAAAGCAGTATTGTTCACTCCTCACTTACACTACCCCAAATAAGTCTTAAAACTAGAGACAATTTAGAACAGTGATTCCAGGGCAGCCCCCATGGCGCAGCGGTTTAGCGCCGCCTGCAGCCTGGGGTGTGATCCTGGAGACCTGGGATCGAGTCCCACATCAGACTCCCTGCATGGAGCCTGCTTCTCCCTCTGCCTGTGTCTCTGTCTCTGTCTCTCTCTCTCTCTCTGTGTGTCTCTACGAATAAATAAATTAAAAAAAAAAAAAAAGAAAAAAAGAACAGTGATTCCATTGCAGGACAGTCCCTGAATGCTCTGGGGACAGGGGGCCTGCGGGTGATCTAGCCAGTAGTTAACATGTGGGACTGATGAGGCTGCTGTCATGGGTCAGGCCCTTACAGCCAGTTGGAACTTCTGACAGATCCTGCATTGTCTTGCCTGGCCTGTTGTTTTTGTTTGTTTTGTTTTGTTTTGTGGGGGTGGAGGGGAGAGAGAGAGAGAATCCCAAGTAGGCTCCATGCTCAGTACAGAGCCAGCTATAGGTTTGATCTCACAACCCTGAGACCATGACCTGGGCTGAAATCAAGAGTCAGATGCTTAAAGGACTGAGCCACCCAGGAGCCCCTGGCCTGTTTGTTTGTTTAAGGGCTGGGAGAGAGAAAGAGAGAGAGAGAGAGAGAATGAGAATGAAAAGTGGGGGAGGGACAGCTACCCAGGTGCCCCTGGCCTGTTTTTTTTTTTTTTTAATATGTTCATAATAGAAACTAGGGAGGTCGAAAGAGTTTGTGGATGCCTTGCTGCAACTCTACTACTTTTAGGAAATTCAAAGCATGTGAGGGGCACCTGGATGGCTCAGTGGGTTAAGCATCCGACTCTTGATTTCCACTCAGGCCATGATCTCGGGGTTGTGAGACTGAGCCCCAAGTTAAGCTCCACACTGGGCATGGAGCCTACTTGGGATCCTCTCTCCCTCTCCCTCTATCCCTCCCCCTGCTCATGTTCTCTCTAAATAAATAGGTAAGTAAATAAATAAATATCTATCAGTCTTTTTTTTTAAGATTTATTTATTTATGATAGACATAGAGAGAGCGAGAGGCAGAGACATAGGCAGAGGGAGAAGCAGGCTCCATGCTGGGAGCCCGACGCGGGACTCATCCCGGGACCCTGACACGGGACTCATCCCGGGACCCCAGGATCGCGCCCCGGGCCAAAGGCAGGCGCGAAACCGCTGAGCCACCCAGGGATCCCCAATATCTATCTGTCTTTAAAAAAAAAAAAAATCCTAAGGGACGCCTGGGTGGCTCAGTGGTTGAGCGTCTCCTTCGGCTCGGGACATGATTCCAGGATCTGGGATCAAGTCCCACATTGGGCTCCCTGTGAGGAGCCTGCTTCTCCGTCTGCGTCTTTCTCTCTCTCCCTCCCTCTCTCTCTCTCTCTCTCTTTCTCTCTCTATGTCTATCATAAATAAATCTTAAAAAAAAAAATCCTAACTAAGCATGTGGCCTTCCTGGATTAAAGAAGGTAGTCTTGATTTACACACAAGGACCCAGCGTGCTCTATGCCTCCATGTCTAAATTTCTCCCTTTTTATTTTTAAAATTTTAAAAATTTTTTAGTTTTTCCCTTTTTAAAATAAGAGCTGATGGTGGGAATGGGTTTTGTAAACTATGTAGTATAGCAGCAATGGAGTTGTGAAGCCATAGACATGGTTCAGATACCAGCTCTGCTGGTTACTAGCTGTGTGACATTGGGAAATTTACTTAACTTCTCTGATTCTATTTCCTTACTCCTGAAATGGGAACATCAATAGATGTTTCATGGGTTTTTGGGAGGAGTAAGTGAAATAAGGTTTGTAAAATATTTAGCACAGTGCCTGACACATGGCATACAGTGATATTTGCCCTGCTCCCTCTCCCCCCCCACACCTTATTAAAAGCTATTTATATTGATTTGTGCCTCTTTAAGATGATTTCCTTGATTTGGGAGAGAAGGAGGGGGATGCCTGTCTTTAATGTTATACTTATGTTAGGAGTTACATTATGTGACCCCACAGGCCTGTACCTGAACTTCCTGGGAAGTCTACCTTCTTTGGCAGCTCGGATGAGTTCATTGAGAAGCGGAGACAAGGTCTGCAGCATTTTCTGGAAAAGTGAGTAGACATGGTAGGCTAGCACCTGTCCCCCTGGTGTGGGTGAGGAGGGGGTGGCAGGAGCAGGATGGCCCCTTCGATCGATTGGATGGGTGCCTTTGTAGTGGATGCGTTTCTTGCACCCCCAAGCCTTCAGGCTGGAAGCCCTTCAGAGGATGGGCCTGGGGAGAGCAGCAGCTCTGGGGGAGTCTGTGTTGTACCTCTTGTGTTTGCCCCACAGGGTACTGCAGAGTGTGGTCCTCCTATCGGACAGCCAGTTACACCTCTTCCTGCAAAGCCAGCTCTCCGTGCCTGAGATCGAAGCCTGCGTCCAGGGCCGAAGTCCCATGACCGTTTCTGATGCCATCCTTCACTACGCTATGTCAAACTGTGGCTGGGTCCAGGAAGAGAGGCAGGGCTCTTCTCATCTGGCTAAGGGGGACCAGCCCAAGAGGTAACTAGAGTGCTAGGATTTCTGTCGCCTAGGCCAGTGAGGCGTCCGCTTGCAGGGGAAGTACTGTCTCAGCCCTGTAGCCTCTCAGAAGGGGTCTTGGTCTCCCTGCACCTGATCCTCTCACCTCAGGCACCCCTGTCCCTGGGTGGCGGGCTCTCCCATTGAAGCCTGGGGGAAAAGAAGAGAAGGCTGGCTGGTTCTTTATTTCTCTCCCCGCCCTTTTATAAAGTAACAACTTCATTGAGATATAATTTACATACCATAAAATTCACCCTTTTAAATGTACAATTCAGTAGTTTTTACTTAGAACCTTAGAACCCCAATTTTTATCACTCTTAAAGAAACCTTGTGCCTCTTAGCAGTGACACTCTGTTTTCCCCAACTCCTTACCCCCCAGTGGCCACTCATCTACTTTCTGCATCTATGGATTTGCCTGTTTGGATGTTTCACCCAAGGGGAGCCATGTGATGTGCGATCTTTTGTGCCGAGCTGCTTTCACTCTGCATATTATAGTGCAGATGAGCACCTCCTTCCTTTTTAGGGAGGAGTAGTATTCCGTCTGTATAATAGTCCACCTGAATAATATTTCTCTGCCAGCTTTTGTGCTTATCCACTGATTTTTGTTCATCTGTTCATGGCCTTCTTTTTCCTTTCCTGTTCTCAGTTGCTGCTTCCTTCCAAGATCGGGCAGGAGGAGCTCCCCCTCACCACCTCCCAGGGAAGAGAAGGACCATTTTGAGGTGTGGGCTCCGGTTGTTGACTCTGCAGCTCCTTCCTTAGAGAGCACCCCCCTCCCATCTGCCCCCTCCCTCTCAGGCTGTGATTTTGCAAGGCCTGAGGAGGGAGCCTCTGCTCCCCAGCCTGTGAGGAGGGCTGTGGGTGGGGACCCTGCTGTGCCTTTGGACCCTGGGCAGTTAGAAACAGTTTTAGAAAAAGGAGCTCTGGTCTGAGCCTTGGGTTCTGCTCCAACGTGGAGAAGATGGAGGCAGGGAGACTGGGGTGGGTTGGAGCACAGGGCAGGTGCTGGGGAGGTGGGGCCACTTGGAGTCTCACGGTGGCCTCTGCTCAGGTTGCGCACACAGAGCACAGTCACCACAACTCAAGCCCCCTCCATGGGATTAAACACTGGAGGTTGTAATTTAGGCATAAGGCCCATAGGCTGTTGGTTTTGCACGGAAACATGGGGTATATTTACTCTCCTGGGAGCTGAGTTTCTTTAGATGCTTGTTAATGGGCCCAGGCACATTGCCTCAGGTTGACGGGTTTGGGGACCTGCAGAGTGGCAGTTTCTCAGCTGTCCTGTTGAATACTGACCCAGCAATGCTAGTATACTTGTCTTCCACTGGCTGTGTTTTCGCTGCAGCCCTCGGAGCACTTTGTTTCTGGGAGGCCGGCCTCTCGCCTACCTCCTTTCCCTGCGGCCAGGGTGGTGAATGTCTATCCTCCGTACCCCTCGCCTCCTTGCTTTCCCTTCACCGACTCCTAAGGCCAGGGCACCCTCCAATCCCAAGCCCTGAGCTGGCCACGGGGACCCCGAGACCCACGAAATAGCTAACGGCCACCACGGGAGAGACGCAGGGGACGCCTGGAAGCTGGAGGGAGGGAAGGCGGCAGCGGGGGCTGGGGTTTAGGAGAGGCTGGCCCCGGGCCGCCCGGTCTCCCCTGGCTATGAAGCAGGGCCGGGACTGGCTGCTCCGGGGTTGGCGACGGCGCCTGCGACGGCGCCTTTCTTTTCCGAATCCTTCCCTTCTCCCCTAGTAACGGCCCCGCCCCCAGGGCTCCCGCCACCGCGCGGCCCCTCCACTGTGTCGCCGTGTCGCTGTGTGCGGGGAGGCCGTCTGTTCAGTCCAGTGGGGGCACAAGGGCTTTGTTTGTGCCTGGGGAGAGGGCTCTGGGGATGGGGATGAGGAACGGCAGGCCTTCAGACAATGAGGCATCTGGCCTCCCGCTGCCGCTGCCGTAACCGAAAGCCTCTCCGCTGGGAGCCAGCCGCCGGGCAGGGCGGGAGCGGGAGCGGCGCCACCCCGCCCGGCTGCTTCTGCTGCCTCGGCCCCAGGCTTGGGAGTGCGGTGCCCGCTTGTCCCTGTCCCCCGCCCCGCCCGCCCCGTCTCTGGGCCCATGCACGCCCCGCGCTGCTGTGGGACTGTCGTGGCATTTAGTTCAGAGTTGAGGGGCTTTGGCCTGAAATAAAATTCAAGTATTTAAGACGGTTGTTGCCATTCGTGTCTAACAAGCTGTAGCCGAGGAGGAGGGAGTGCGGCCTGGCAGTAGTTACTTTCATAAATCATGAATTTATTAGCGTGGAAATAATGGTTCGAGGCTGTGCGCCTCGGCTCTCCCGCCCGGCGTGTGCTGCTTGGTCCGGGTCCGGAGGGGGGGCCCGCTGCCAGGGAGCCCCGATCCAGCTCTCCCGCCGTCCTGGGCGTGAACCTCGTTAGGTATAATTTACCTGGTGCCGCTTCCCCTCCTCGCAGCCTGTCTGAGGTGCCAGGTGCTGGGAGAGAAATAAAGTTTGTCAACAGGCAGATGCAGAGCCCCGGCGGGGGCTCCTCCCTCTTTCCCGCCCACCTCCCCCGAGCCTCTCCTTTATACGAGGCTGCCAAGCCAGGCGAGGATAGAAAACCTACAGAGGCGAATCCAAAATGTCAAAAGAAGTTCATTTAAAAGGGGGAAAAAATTCCATCCACAACCGTCACAAAAACCCGACAGATGCTAAGCTAATGGCATCCGCTCTGCCGATTGGTGGGGACGGCTCATGAATATTAATGAGTCCAATGCTCCAAATGGTGCAGCTGTGAACCCAGCTGTGCCTGAAGCTCTCTGATCTCGAAACTTCCAGACAGGAGCCGGAGGTGGTCTGTGTCAATTCCCTACTCAGCCAAAAAAACAGCAAGCCGGGTCGGCCTTCTTCTGTTCCCTCCTCATCTTCCTGGAGCTGGTGCTCAGCAGCTAGTTGTGCCAGCAGGGTGGGCTGCTGGGACAGCAGGAGCTATTCGAAGACGCGGATGTGATTTTTCTGACTCCCGGCTTTTTTAATGATCCATTACCAGCAGTGCATACAACAGCAGCTCAGTTAATCTAAGGCCAGGCGCCATCCCCTCACCTGCTCCAACACAGTTGAGTGTAGGCAGCGGGAGGAATTGTCCTAAGAAGGGAGGAGTTTTTCTAGTAAGGGCCTGGAGTTGCCAGGAAAACCGCAAAGCTGAATTCTCCTCCCCATCCATGCCATGACCTTGGCCTCTCACATTTTGCCCTGTCCCTGTGTGTGCTAAAGGCTGTTCACTGTGGCCTGTGACCTCTGTACGGAAGATGGGAAACCCCTGGGACAGTGGCTGGCCCCCCTGGGACAGTGCCTGGTTGAGCTGTTCTCAGCTTTTGCAGAACTAAGGTGTGTGAGGATTTAGGTTTGAGGTAGGTTCTGTGCCTGATTCAGTCCCGTTCCGACTGTGGCCCAAGTCTGGTCCTCTCCTGTTGCCCAGAATAGGTGATGCCATGCTCAGGGGTTTCCTTTTGTTAGGAGGAAGGGTGTGTGTGTAGGGGGAGGTAGGTCTGGTATGAAGTGAAGTCTCCTTTATTTGCATCACTCCACTTGACCTCAGTGGCCAGCAAGGAGGGGAAGTCCAGAATGACACTCATTTTCTAGCTGAGGAGACTGAGCTGAGCATGGTTTTCAAAGAGCATGTTTTTATTCATAAAAATTTATTTATTTGTTTGTTTTAAAAACACCCCACCCCTGACACAGAACTCGAACTTACAACCCCAAGATCAAGAGTCATACGCTCTACCCGCTGAGCTGGCCTAAAACGCATGTTTTTAGATGGTGGGAGAACATGTTTATGTGAGAGTGACTTCCCCAGCTCTGTAAGATGAGGTTTTTGTTTCCTCCCCCAGTCTTTTTTTTTTTTTTTTTTTTAAGATTTTATTTATTTACTCATGAGACGCAGAGAGAGAGAGAGCGCAGCAGAGACACAGGCAGAGGGAGAAGCAGGCTCCCTGCAGGTATGGGACTTGATCCCGGGTCTCCAGGATCAGGCCCTGGACTGAAGGCAGCGCTAAACCGCTGAGCCACCCGGGTGAGCTGCCCTCCCCCAGTCTTTAAAAAAAAAAACCCAAAAACTAAAATAAACTACTCAAGAAGAAAAAAAAAAGCCCACTTGTGTAGCTCTTCAGAGTAGTTCTCAGAAATCAGCTCCTCCACAGTCCTCAGTTTTCCAGCTGCCGAGGCCTTAGATCCACACCAAGTCTTAAGACATCCTAAGATTCATCTTAAAAAAAAAAAAAAAGACTCAGCGGAGTTTGGGAGGCGATCATAACTCTTTTAACAATCTGATTGGACTTCAAATGAGCTCTGTGTTTGTGGATTTGTTTATATGCCTCAGCTCTTCCTGGATATTCTTACCACCTTGGCGGTGGGGAGGACGGGAGGAGGTAACATGGGGTTGAAGGTAGAGATGGAAACAGACGAGCACCTGGCCTGCCTCACAGAGGCCGCGGAAGCATTCAGTCAGGGACTGGAGTGGCATCTGCAGATTTATACGTGAGCAGCCTGCTGAGGCACAGCTAAAGCCAAGCAGATAAGCAGTGTGGGATGGTGACTTCTCAGTCATGGCTGGGCACACATCCTAAGTCAAGCCTCCTGGGCAGCCCTCTGCCAGCAGGGACTCGGCTCTGTAGAGGGCATGTCACCTGGCTCACAGTAACCTTTGCATTGTGGATAAAGCATACCCCTTCCCATACTTCTTAGTACGTCCCCTCTTTCCTCAGCCCATTTTGGGACACCCCCCCCCCCTTCTCACTCACTCTCTGCCCTGCCTCTTTTCTCTACAGAACTCTCTTAGGAACTGCTGCAAAGGCCAAATGCACTTGGCCTCACCAACAGGGCCGCAGGAGCCAGTCCCAGCATGTTATTAGAGAACTAACTTCTTGGGAAAAAGACCAGTTCCACCTTAGTAATGGCTGATTGGGACTTGAAAGCTGGAACCTCAAATCTCAAGATATAATAAACATGGACAGTTTATGCTCAAAGGGGTAACAAAGCCACGTTTTCTAGGAGACCATGCTCCTGAGTCAATTAGCAAAGTGAATAATTTTACCTCCTTTCCATTCAGGGGAGGCCTGGTCCACTTCCACCAGCCCGAGAGGAGGAAGTGAAGGGGGCAGGAATAATAGGGGCAGATGGGAAAGCTAGAGTGAGAATTCAGAGAGGGTCCGGAAGTCTTGAAGGTTTTCCTCCCTGGGAGGGCAGGAACTTGAGACGCTTCTGTAATCTTTGGATTCTGGGGGTCTCCTAGTCCAAATTCCTTCCCTGTGTCCACCCTTTCACCTGTGGCTCCGCCGGGGTGGGGGGGCGAGGGGCTGGGAAGCCCGGCCCGCCAGGCCCTTGACCCCAGTCCCATGAACAGACGGCCCAGAATAGCGAGAGCCCGAGGCGGTTTGTCGGAGGCAGTGCAACCTGCCTGCTAGAAGCTACGAGACTTAGATATATTCTACCAATTAGGGCACATCTGTTCGCAGCGCGGAAAGGCGGGCACTGTCTCTTTAAGAGCCATCCCACTCCTCTCCTTGAGTGATGAGGGCTGGGAGCACGAGGGAGTCGGATGCTGATTAAACAGTCCTACTGCCCAGCTCTGTTAGAAAATTACTGTAATTATGATCTAGTCCCAGCAGAGGGGTGAGTTCCAATCCTGCTAATAACCCTTCCAGGTGCCTCAGATTCGGGGCCCAGGGGAGGCAGCATCGGCAGGGCTCTGGCTGGCTCTGGGGCCGGCGAGGGCCTTGCTGTCTGGCCCGTGCATGCGAAACCAGCAAAGCCGATGGACCCCTCCTCCTGTCTTGGCCTCTGAGAAGTCTGTGCGTTTGGGCTGGGGTTTCCTTTTATGGTTCTTGACCCAGCTCCAAGGAGTTCACTCTGCATGAGAAAAGTTCCCCTTAAAAACCTACATGAAGGGCCAGGAAGGGTAAATGTGACCTTCAGGAAGTGACAACTGTCCTGAGCCTCCCCACCTCTGTCCGAAGACTGCAGTCAGCATTGCATTAGCCCGACCCTGTGCAAAGCCCAGGGAACTGCGGTGGAACCGGAGTTTTCCTGTCGGGGGCAGCCGCTGCCCTCTCTACTGGGCTCGGCGACCCTGGCTTCTTGCTCTGAAGCCGAGCACAGGGTTTCACTCAGTCGTGATCAAGAGTTTCAGGGATCCCCTTTGAGAGTTCTGCTACAGGAAACGGAAACAAGGATCACAGCCCCAGAGCTCCAGACGCAGGAGAGACTCCCTGGCCTGCAGCTCCCTAAGCCAGCAATTTCGGTTGTATTCACTTGAAAACATCGTTTTTGTAGTGCAAATCTGCAGCAGGGCAGGCAAACAAACCTCAAAGGTGCTTGTGGAGCGTGGAGGTTGGCGCTGGCTCGCTGGTTCTTAAACCCCGAGGAATTCATGGCATTTCTGCTCTAGGCTTTCCAACCTAGCTGTGGGCTTCTCTCTATCCCTGTAACCCACTGGCTGAAGCACAAAGTTCTAGAGGGTAGGGCAGTTTCTCTGTGCTTGGCCTTAAGCACACAGTGACCCGGGACAGTGGTCTTCAACCAGGGGTGATTTTGTGCCTAGGGAACATTTAGGGGGTGGGTGGGGGGAGGACTGCTGGCATCTAGTAGGTAGAGAACAGGGTGCTGCTGTGAACATCCTACAGTGTCCCTAACAACATAAAATTACCTGCCCAGAATGTCAGTAGTGCCAGGTTGAGAAAGCTTGCGCCAGCAGATGAAATAATAAGTTCCAATCTCTGCACCCCCCTCTTCCCCTGCACTGCCTTACAAGTGTCGGGGAAGTGACTCCGATCTCCAGATGCTGATTTCCAGATGCCGGGCGATCTCCTCGAGGTGGGATGCGCCTGGCGACAGGCCTAGCCGGGTGTGGACCCACGGGAGGCGTCCAGGGTGTGTAGGTGGCCGGCCGGGGGGTGGGGCATGGGGTGGGGTGGGAGGGGTGAGGAGGGATCGGAGGCCGCGCGCTGCCGGAGCGGGGCCGGGGTAAAGGGGAAGTGTCTGCAGCCTGTGTGCTGTTCCGTGATCCGATGAGGGGGATGAGCGGGCCAGCTGCTCACCATCCGGCTCAGAGCGTCTAGCGTAGAAGCAGATGCCCTCTTTGAGGACCAGCACTAGAAGCCTCTTGGAACCCAGTCCCACCGCAGGAGGCAAGGAAGTGGCTTAGCATGCGGTTCTCCAAGCA